TTCTGCTCTCGATTTTTGGACAAAGACACGCATTCGACTTTGAATGGTTTTTAGATTTTGACTCTGAAAAACATAATGACAAACGCGTTCTCTCATCTCAGGTTCGTGTCCGGACGATGACGTGTGCGGGTAAAGGAAACACCTCCGCCTGCAACTGGTTTGCGCCCTGGCATTCTCAAATATGTGCAACACTGTTTTCGAAGTTTTTCAAAAATTTTCCAATCGAATGTTGTCTGTGTCAAATAATCGACTCTTAGCACTTTTCTTTGGATCTTTGTGAAAGAGTTCTTTGTTAATAAATAAAAATTTGAACTAGAAAGTGAACCTCCAGATGAATCGTTCAGAATCGCTCAAAACTTCAGTTGTGCGATGGTGTCAAAATCATATTTGCGGTATTCAACATTCTCGTCAAAAAACAAATAGAGAGAAAAACTTGAATTTTTTTGGGGGACTTCGTTTTGCAGAATTGCACATGTCAGTTCGTATTTCACTGACAACTCTTCATATAATGATGGATTCTAGTCAAATATGACACTTGATTCTGTTTTTATGTACGGAAATCGATGCTTCCATTATGAGGCTTCTGTCACGCTTCGCCTCTTTGAATCATCACTGCTGAACACGATTGACAATTCCTTTCTCCATTCAGAAAGACACATTACACCAATTAAACAAATAACATTACTGTCAATGTTCGATTTTCACACGAACCCATCCGGATATAACGCTATCGAAACTGTCTGTCGAGTATTTAGTCACGTAAAACTTTTGCAAGTAGTGGTTATCAATTCGCTGAGGTTAATTGGTTCCGCAATCGATGAATTTCAACACTGATCAAGCATGTCATTTCATCCATCTGATTTATGAGATAAAACCCTTTGAGAATAGAACGTTCACACACCCTCACGAGTTACAATAATCAACATTAGTAAAAGATTACATATATTGATCGAAAACAACAAAAAGTATTCGACATGCTTTATTAAAAATTTCATTGCTAAATTTCTGCTAAGGTATCAAAATAATGCTTATCTTCAGAATTTCAATAATAACAATATTTACAAAAAATAGTAAAATCTTAGATTTCTTCTTATAGAAGGGTGTGGACGTGGGTGTGATCCTCCCTCATCGGCACAGCCAGACCTTCAGGCACAGGCACATCAACCCACATCGATGCCCACGCCCACACCCTTACGGGAGAGACCACATGGTAGAAACTGCAATTTCCGATGATCAAAGTATATATCGAATGTTTCTAAGCTGGTCTTCATTTTTTTCATGATGGAACAGGTAATATCGGATTAGTCACAGAAACACTTGACAGCTTCAAGATTACTGATGAAAATCGCAGACAAAACTGGGTCTACAATAAAGATTACAGACCCTTGAGACATGTCCAAGAGGAGATATGCGCCTGCAAACTTCTGAAATTCTTCGAAAATGATCGCAAATGTGCTCATGATGCTTCATGTTACATATATAACTTTTGAACGGAACAAGGTATACATTTCAGATTTGCGTAGATTTTTAGATCCTGAGCTCGCGGATCTGTCGCACTCCTTATAATTAAAACTTGATGTAATCATCATAGGGCTTTCAGTATTTTTTCAAAGATCATTGAATGACGATCGAATTATGAACTAATATTGTTGAATATTATATGGCACTATGCATTGACACAACCTGTTTCGCATGGTGAAAACCGCAGTTCTATATCTAATTTCTATCAAAAATTATTCAACAAATACTCACACTCTGTCTTTTTTTAAATGGATATGAGTAGTGAATTAATTAGACATTAACCGATTCTTAATTCTTTGTAGGTTAGTAACAATTGAGACATCGGGTTCAATGGGAGAAGAGTACAACATAGGCGATGTTTTCATGAGAATATAAGGTCGATTCGTTTTGAGTTAATGCGGTTTCGAGATTCCTTTTCTTAACCAAGGATCTGTGACCTTCTCTAAGTCGTAACAATTTCTAGAAATTCTAACACTTATATAAACCATGTAGGCAAAACACAGTCAGCCATAAAAAAAACAAAATTGCGTGGTTACGAGCTTTCGATTTTCTGCTTTTACGTTCAATGAATACAAACTCGACAATACAACAATAGGTTGCTCTGGATTTCATTATTCTATATATATTTTCGTTTTTCATTACACGTAGTCTCCTATACTGAATGTTTTGTACTTAAAAACGATGATAGTTTCAACCAGACTCATGAAAACAAAGCTTATGAACAACAAGATGAAACGAAAATTTCTAGTGTCCAATTACTATACAACCGAAAAACAATAGTCAAGAGAATATTCTCGAAAAAATCCAACGCATCTTGTTGACTAAGAATGCATTCTGAGAAGAAAAACTGTATATCCCTAGTGGAAAAAACCAAAAAAAATTTGTTGGACGAGGTGTCCCTTTAGGACCTCTTTAGTCAGAGGGTATAACACAGCAACAAAGGAGAAAGCGCATTCTGAGAAAAAAAGAATGCATTTAAACATCTCCTGTAAAAGTGATGAACGTAACCAAACGCATTCCGAATAAATAAGAACACGTTCTTAGACAACGTACAAAGAAATAAAATGTTTTACCGCAGTGGCAATGCAATCTTTTAAGAATATATTTGAATAATTTACTAAAGCATTTTAAAAGCCTTAACTCGTGTTCATGTTGTTAAAGAAGAACGCGCTTCGATTTCTAAGAATTTGTTCTTCAAGAATACCTTGGAACTTGTTCACTAAAAACGCAATGCCAAGTCAAAGAATCGCGTTTTCGACAATAAGAGCGTATTGTTTTAATGGTTTCAAACCAAAAAAACAGAACATGATTAATTAAAGCCTCAGCAAAACCATAAACACCACAGTGCATGTTTTTCTCTGTTTGCCGAGCAACAGTCTTAAACAAATACTCATATTTACTGTCCGTGTCTTTCGATTAGTAGCATCACCCATATTGATGCATTTTTTGTGATTTCTTAGCTCTGTGTTATTATGCTGTTGCTCCTTTATTTTTCGAATTTTTAAAGATTTGTGCTCGAAAAATAACTGTTTTGTAAAAAAAAAACAAAGGCGACAAAAGAAGGTTTTCGAGAACTCAAAAACGAAAATAGCTTTCCCGATCGACATTGGAAGACGAAAAAAAAAACATATTTTAATTCTAGCAATTTTTTTAAGCGTTTCAAGAAATGTCTTTGTGTAACATCCTTGGAAGGTTTCGATTGCTCAGAAACGCTTAGGAATTAAGAAGCCTTTGGAGATTTCGAAAAAAATTACTATATCAAACACTAAAAGATTTCATAGAATAGGAATCCTTATTTTTCTTTTGAAATCTATTTAAAGGTTTCTGACATCGATTCAAACACCTACTTTTGTCAGTTTCTCAGAAAACTTTCTTTTTTATGATTTGCACTCGAATTCTTCATTTGATTTTCAGAAGTGTCTTTATTGTGCCTTTCACTTAATGATTACATACTCTACTTATTCACATATATTATTGTTCACACTTCTCTCTCTCTCCTAATATGTGTACATCTATCTCTGTCTGTCATTACACACATTCTTCGTTTACGCTGATCTAAAGCAGCCATCACGCGTAGTTCTGGTATAATCTATTTAGCGTCTCATTATTCTTTCCCTATGCAGAAACAATCAAATCTGCTTAATTCTTCACATTTTTTAAAAGCAAGACAATCGAATGATTATCATGTTTGTCTGAGTCTTACATCTTGCATCCTGTATTTTCTTCCAGTCTAATTAACAAATTATTTTGCAGGTAGTCAAGCAAGAAACATGTTCCCTCTTTCATCGACTTTGCATCGCATGGCTAATGGATAGGAAATATTCGATTGATAGCAACGCATGGCAAACATTCATGTTAAAGAAGTACATTACTGTGGAAGGAAATCTACAATGAATGGTTGCGTTACTGGAGCTCAAAACAGTAAGAGGGCTCTCTAATGCATGCTCTTGAACACTGATTCTTAGCCAAGTACTGAATCAAGTAATGTAGAAAGCACTTGGCGTATTTGACAAGTAATCTACACTGTGAAATAGAAGATAACTTATAGAGAAAAAGTAAGGATATTCAAGGAATGCCTATATGAATTCTGGAAAGAATTTTTAATTTCTTGAAAAGACAATATTTAAGTAAATTGAAATAACATATTCGATTTTCAGATTCAAAAATCAAAAGTGAGTACATATGGACATTCCTAGAAATTCGTTCTCAAAATAGTGATTGGAACATTTTTTACAAAGTTGAAAATCAAGTTTTATTTTCACTTTAAGATAAAATTTTCATCGATTTATTTTATGTATGAGTAGGGTTGCCACCTCTTCCGCTTTTTCGCTTTTATTCCGCTCTTTTCCCGCTGTTCCGCTTTTTCGTATAAAAACCTGGTGCACGGTAAAAATGCGTACACAATAAAATTTTTTATTCTTGAACTATTCTTATCATTTGCATATGCTTATGGAGTGATTCATATTTATCACTCTTATTATATGATTCATGAAATCAGTGGAAGAACACACACTAAAGGTATGTAAAAGAGGTTGTGCTCTTAATTTCTATTCGTGAAGTAAAGACAACGTTCTGCTTCTAACTGATAGTTAACTCTTTTTCGACTTATTTTGTGTGCTTTATTTGATAAAAAGCTTTCAACCCAAAAATTTGAATTGCTTTTCTGATCAATGGACAATGAGATTATAATTGAAAGTGAAAACAATCATGAAAGTTTAATAACAACAACACCAATTCTAAAGTCAAATGAAAATAAAAATGTGAAAGCCGTACCAAGTGCTTGCGAAAAGAAGAAAAAAATGTGGTCTTTAATCCACAGTGGCTACTTGATTCTCAGCTTGGATCGTTTTTACGAGAGTATAAACCGGATTCAATTAAAGTTCTTTGGATTGCTTGCAATGAACCTTTTTCAATACATTATAGTGAAAAAAATGATATTGATCGACATAATTATAAAGCTAAAGAGACACATCAATAACATGAAATCATTTAGTATAAATCGGCAATTGATAACATCAACAATGACATCAAACAAAGCGAGTGAAGAAATAGCAGCGACGGAAGGTGCTTTTGTTTATCATGGAGGGAAACATGGACATCCTTATTCATCACAACAATGTACCACAAATGTCATCAAAACAATTTTCTCATCTTGTTCTGCCATTGCAAAATCAATGTCCTGTGGACGAATAAAATGTGCTTTCATTGCAGTGAATGTTTTAGCTCCATATTTGACTCGAAAAGTTTTAACTGAAGTAAAAGAAGCATCTTTTTATTCTACAATGTTTGATGCCTCGAATAAAGAAAATACAAAGTTTTTTCCAGTTTTTGAACAATATTTTTCAAAATTTGGAGTGAAAAAGGTTGTAATTCGTTAGTTGAGGCTCTTCTACTTGCGTTAATGTTTAATTTTTGTATGTTTAATAGGTATAATTGATCTGATCGACAATGCTGATAAATCAGCAACGAATATCTTTGAAAATCTTATGACTGCAATTAAAAAATCTGGTTTGCCGTTGGAAGGTCTTACATCGATCGGAACTGATAATACAAATGTCAATATGGATAATACTCATAGTGTTTATACATTATTTCTTAATCAAATTGAAAACCTGTTTAAAGGGTGATTGTGTATCTCCTCATTTTATAGTTGATTCATTAAGGAAACTGTTACTGTCATATTTTGCACAATGGGAGGAAGTGGGATCATCAGCAGTTGACTGCTGATATTGAGCGATTTCTTATGATGACCTATGCTCATTTTTCTCGTTCAGCCAACAGAGTTGAAGAACTGAACAGTTATTATGAATTTTACGAACAGGATTTTCATGTAAGTTTTCTTTCAATAAAGGCTATATTCAATGAATGATTAAAGGTATTTTCTTATAATGTTTTTCAGGTTTTGATAAAGTACATCAAAATTCGATGGATATCGTTGTATTCATCGATTGAACGCTTATTACCTGTTTACAAACCAGTAAAGGACTATTTCACCGATCAATCAAACGACGAAATTCCTAAAAAATCACAGAAACATTTTCAATCTGAAGAAACATTATATATTTTAACATTCTTGTATCATGTTCTTTTTGAGATTCAAAAAACTAACTTGAAGTTACAAAAAGAATCCATTACAGCAATTGATTTATATCGATTAATAACATCACTTCAATACAAATTAAAACAATGTTTGGACACATTTTTTGGAATTCAATGTCGATAAATATTAAACCGAATGCCATCTGATACTGGTGCCGAACTACAAGCTTCTTTCGTACGATACATCTCGAAATTTTTAGAGTATGTCGACAAATATTTCTCCCAAAATGTTGCTTTTCTCGAAGCTATACCACATTTTGGTAATAGAATTGAAAGTCTTACTTGAAATAATATTCAAAAATGTATTGAAGTTACAAAAGTCGAAGGTTTGAACGAAGATAATTTGTTTAATAAGTTTACCGAATTGAAATTGACATTCGTAATCATCCAGAAGAAACAAGTACCATTGTTTGACCAGATTCAATTTTTTCTTTCTAATGAACAAGAAAAAGAAGCAAATCTCTCATTACCGACGACAGTTCGACAAAACGAGACTGGCAAAGAAGATGAGGAAGAACAAGCGAAAGTAATTCCATCAGATCAACTATAGGCCATGTCATTTGCTGTCAATGCAACACCAACACCAAATATGAAGAAGTTGTTTTGTTTCTTGTACTCGATTTCAGCTAGAAATGCCTATGTAGAATGTATTTTTTCGGACATGAAGCATTTACTAAATGATTCTCGTAATCGTATGTCAGTTGAATCAATAACTGCTGAATTACAAATTCATCGAAATTCCTCAATATCATGTATTGATATGCATAAACATTTGTTGTCTCAAAAAGAGTTTCTGGAAGCAATCAGTTCTAATAACAAATATACATTAAAAAAAACCACGTATTGAATAAAAATTTATTTTATTAATGCTATTTTCTATGTTTTGATTTGAAATGCCATAAAAATAAAAAGTAATGCCATAGATATGAAAAAATACCTAAAGTTCTTAGAAATACATAAAATATGCAACAATTTAAATTTCCACTTTTTTTCGTTTTTTACTATTTTTCTTTCCGCTATTTTCCACTTTTTTAGGACGATCTTTCTGCTTTTCAGACTTCATCAGATGGCAACCCTGCTCATGGATGATGTGTATTTTAATTGCTTGAATTTTGATTTGACACCACCCATGTCGTTTTTGTAAAGACATCAAAAGAAAGTTCTGTAAAAAGACGTTTAAGTATTAGACAATTTAACAATTTGAATGACTTGATAACTCGAAGTAATCAAAAAACAAAATGCTATGTAATGTTTTTCTGGAAAAAGGAAACAGGCTAAATTTTTGTATTTCGGCTGTAGGTCTTAGCTTTCAACAATGCTTTTGCAATTCATCCGTTGAAATGAAAGCTCTATGTATTTATCTCTTATCCAAAAAAAAACAAATTGTTGGATGAAGTTCAGTTAATAGTGACATGAAATGAAAAAAAACCTTTTAGGAAGGGACTTTTGGGACACCCGGTATCACTCTGTTTCACAATCTACTCGAGCCAAGAAGTTCATGTTGAGAGCAGAGAGATGAAGTGAAAGGAGCTATCGCATGGTATTATTTGTATTAAATGTTGATGATAACAGAAATAACCATTCTATTTAGACAGAGAGAATTTCATACATAACCTCTTCTATAGCGACTCCAATCATATCATTTATTCATCAATCAGTGACAAAACGAATGTTATCCATTGACGATGTTTCATATCTTATTAATGATCGAAGACTAGCCTTACGGATAGATGTGGTATAGAGCATGATTTCAGATCCTCTTGGATAGTAATCACAAATAACACACAAAGTTTTGTCTTCTAGTCAGAAAGATGTTCGAAATGAAACAATGATTGAGTTGAGACCAGAGATGACAATGTTCCATTGAAGAGAATAGGTAAAGAAAAATTCGAATTTGTCCAAAAGAAGAAGTTTTGTTCGAATGAACTGTTCTCACAAAGCACCATCAAACACTAAATCAAACGTGAATCTAACGGAAACCAATTTCAGATGAGTAAGTAATGGTGTTAGTGGAAGAAGCAACTGAAGACCTTCGATCCGCAACTGGCAAAGATTTATAGTCAGAAACGTCAGTTGTGTATAGCATGTGCAGGCAGAAGATGGCAAAGTTCAGCTTATCAATGTTCTTCATAACGCAATCTCTCATTACAAATGTTCGTAAGTAAGTCAAAGAATGGAGAATTAAGTGATATTCATGGTAAGTACAAGTTTCGAGGGTGTGGGTGTGGCTGTTGGTGGGGAGTACGAGTGTGGGTTCCAGTGGGTGTGCCTAATTCAAAAAGACACCCATTCTCTTAACACTGAGTAGAGATTGTTCTTTAAGAGATTATGTATTCACGTACTGGAAAAAATGTATAAAACGTCTCGATGAGTCTTATGAAGCTATACTTTCCCAACAAACCTGAACCGCCTTTTTAATTGCAGCATCACCATCTAAGACTTTTTATAAATCAATGGGTTTTCGTAAAAACAGCAGATTCCCTAAAAAATTAAGGAATAAAGCTCAACATATAAAATTAAATGTTATTACCTTCTTCACTAATCATAGTAAACAGTATGGTATTTTTAAAAAATCTTCGTTTGCACTCGAATAGTTTATTTTGAAATACTTCTCGCGATTTCCATCTTAAATGAAATCTAAATCAAAGAAAAGAATAAAGACAACATAACATCATAATGAAAATAAAAATAAACAGCAAACTTTATTGCTCGCTGTTTTACCGATATTCACTGTATCAAATAGATAAGAATGACTTCTCTTTTACTATGATCTTATTACTTAATTTCAGATACACGTGTTTTTTTCCTTTCTCTTTCTTCATTCTCTTTCTCTGCGTCTCATTCTTACAGGGAAATTAGAACTAAGATATCCTGCACTTACAATAAATAAGATCGGAGACAATGTATATATATCACTTGCTTTATTATCATACATTGTTCTTGTTATTTCTTTTTGTTTCCCTTTCATTTCGTTCTCTCTTATTCTCTTTTTTTAATTATTTCTTTCTCTCATCAAAAATTCATCTGATTGAATAAGTATTATATTTGTCACTGCTTGTATCATTTGTTATCCTTTACGAACAATAAACTATATGTTAAAAAAGAGTTTTAACCTTGGGCATCAATCCTTTTTTCAACACGAAACGATGATCATTGAGAAAGATTCCTGCTTTTCTTTTTAATGGAATAAGTTCATCTGAATCAAATTCCAGGAGTGTGTGTCTTCACTTTATCGGCGCCTACCCACACCTACACCCTTTTTCTTCGACTTTTTAAACATATTCAAATTTGTCCATCATGACTATTTTTCCTCCTTTATCTGCTTGAACTGTAGCAATATCATCATTTTTTCTTAGTTCATCAAGTATTTTTACGTGGTTTCTTCCATTTTAACATGAAAGTTGATCTCTCGACAATAGATGATTTTTTGAGAGGCATTGGCATGATGCTTAGATATTTTTCTGTGTGTGTTATAGCTTCAACAACGTTTATAGAAAATGGAATCGGAATAAGTTTTAGTTCTTTTTATAGTACATTTAAATATTTAATAGGTAAACGTATATTAGATATATTTAAAACATTAGATATATCATTAATTAGTACATTGCTATTATGTACTGTTTCTAGTACTTTTTTTTTTGATAAATTCTGTAATTTTATTTCATGCTTCTCATTTAATTTGTTTCTCCTTGTTTTGTCATGTTTGTTTAGCCATTTTAAATCAAAATCATGATTTCTGTTAGAATGTAAATCTTTAAAATATAATTCAAGAATGTTTCATTGTGTATTTAGTTCAAAATTATTCAATCTATGTTGTTCCAATATATATTCTAATAAATCATCACGCAACTTTTCCTTAGTTTTATTTAATAAATACGTTTTTTATTTATATTGATGTTATTATTCATATATAATCCTTTTGTTATAACGTCTAGTTGTTTACAGTTTTTCAAGTAAATAATGTGTATTTATTTTCCACTGTTTTTGGTTTGATTTCTCAAGATATTTAGCAATAGTATAAATGTGTTCTCCATGAAGGGTTTTAAATTGAAATCGGTTAAGGATGGACATATTAATTTTATATTTTGAAAAATTCTTTTCCCGTACGTAATACTTTATTTCATAAAATTTATATAATTAAATAACAATAAAAATAACTTGACTAATGTAACATAAAATCAATTTAAATAACAATATTAATAAGACAAAAATAAAAACAATAAAAAAATAAAACTAATAAAATATAATGATAATAAACTGAAATAAAAATTATTTGCTGACGTTTTGGTACATAATTGATTTTCGTCAGAACTTGTTGTGACGCACACTATTTTGATGTTCAATTTTTGTATATGTACAATTTCTTTTTTTTCTTCTACTTTGATAGTAATATGAATGAGGAAATTGAGCTGTCGTCTCCTTCCAGTGTCATTATCTTCGCTTATCCGTGACACTATCAAAGAAGAACAAAAGAAAAGAATTTATACATATAGAAAAATTGAACATTAAAATAGTGTGCGTAACAGCCAGTTCTGAAGAAAGTCAATTATGTACCGAAACATCAGCAAATAATTTTTATTTCAATTTATTATTATTATATTTTATTAATTATAATTTTTTATTTTTGTCTAATTTATATTGTTATCTTAAATTGATTTTATGTTACATAAGTTAAGTTATTTTTATTGTTACTTAATTATATAAATTTTATGAAATAACGTACTACATACAGGAAGAGATTTTTTCAAAATCTAATGTTAATATGTCCTTCTCTAACCGATTTCACTTTCCTTATATGCTTGTGAAGCCCTAATATTTTGTTGATCGTGTGCTACAATGAAAAATACAAATCAAATGAAGCCATGATATGGTGCACATTTTTTTCAACCTTCGATTCATTCTCTCTTGCCATCCTTTAAGCTGTTCGATCGATTAGTGACAGAACAAGCAAAACAAAAGTAATATTTCTATGGAAAAAGAACAAGTATCTCAATAATATATGATCATGAGTAATTTAACGTATACGGATGAATAAGCACAGGCCAAACTTATTTAGTGATGTATATATAGGCCACGTTATGCTTCTATCTATTGCATAGAACAATATCGATACATTACAGTATTTTTCTTGTTGTGGACATACCAAATTTCGAACGACTTCAGTGAATAAATGTAAACCTATTGAAAGTGTATTCTCTTCAGAAGGTCTTTTTCATGATCAATATCCAGAGGATGTTTCTATCCTTTAGTAGTCCACTAACGAGGGAATATTCCCAACTGTTAGTCGCCGATCGAAGTGACATTTTGCCCGTAAGTAGAACTCAGTGGGACTAGAAAAAGTCTAAAAGGATTCGTCCCCATAGATCTTCCTTCTGGAATTATGACCATTTTATGGGCTTTCCGACTTATGGCAAGCTATTCGTAAAAAGGTTAAAAAGAAGGAATTTTTATCTGACGTTTTGTCCATAAGTATATCTTATGATCTTGAAGATATTCTGAAAGTTTCGGTCAAAATAGATGGTCCTTTCTCGAAATATTGAATACTAAAGAAAAGTCGTTTTCATGACATTTTGTGCGACATATGATCGTGTTTTTGAGCATTCAAGATCTCGAGAAAGAACCATCTGTTTTTAACTGAAACTTTCAGGATATCCTCAAGATCATAAGACCTGCTTATACACAAAACGTCAGGTGAAAATTCCTTCTTTTTGGCTCTTTTATGAATAGCTTGCCATAAGCCGGAAAGACCATAAAATGGTCATAACTCCAGAAGAAAGGCCTATGGGGATGACTTCTTTTAGGCTTTTTGTAGTCTCACTGAGTTCTACTTATGGGCAAAATATTACTTCGATCGTGGATTAATAGTTGAAAATATTCCCTCATTAGATGGTTATCACATCTACAATTTCAATCCCATCATAATTACGACTATCTTAATCCAAACACTGAAGTCATGCATATTTGATTGAATGAAATGAAGAGCCTTTTTGATTATTCGATCTACACTAATCATTGAAAAGAATTATTTTGTGTTAGCGTCAATAGAAGGTACTCTATTAATACTAGCTGTCTATTTGTTCACTATTGGCTTTCCTTCCTTACTTTCCGAATGGATAGCATATATCTTCTCTGAACATTCCAATGACTATCCTTTTTCATCCGCGTTTTTCGCAGTTGTTGTTGCTTACTTCCCCCGGTGATATCATTATTATATTCCCCTATACTATTATCTGTTTCCCTATTGAAATTCTCTCTCGTCTTTCTATTATCATTATATTTTCTTGGTTTTATTATTATAAATAAAACCTGATCTGATCCTCGTAAACATTCCCTTATTCATATATCAACACATGGTAAGTGTGTCTTTGCTTATATTACGTGAAATATATCGTTCCCGTAGCAGACCAGGATTAATTATAGCCGTCATCTAGCCCACACGTTAGTGTGGACAAGAGTAAGAGGCAATCTAAAAAACGAGAACCTCACAAATGATGGAGAAGTTGGGCAGCAGTATATACACACATATATATTCTCCTACACATGTTCGTACGCTCCACTCTATGCGAAGGCGCATAGAAAAATAAAAAGAACTGTGCAAACGGGGAGATGTTAGCGTCAATAATAGCACACATTGATGCTAAACGCATATGAAGATGGTTCTTCTAGTCTAGCTGGCTTAGGACATCTGCCAGGATAGCAGAAGGTGTGGATTTGAGTTTCACGAAGATCATCTTTTTCTTCGTTCTGTCACATAACATCAATGGCACTGCATATCCTTTTGTTCTTTACATATACAGCCAACATTTTGAATGATCGAAATGATAAAATACTTTATAGAAATAATTAAATATTTTCAAAGAATATTTTAAAATTCATTGTCATACACGTCTAAATCATATTAGACAATAGAATATATCTCTTAATGAATAAAGTATCTTTTCACTGACCAAAAAGATTTTGACTACAAAGGTATAGACAAATAAGACAAATAAATAAGAAAAAAGTTACTATTGGAAGGTTTACAAATGTTTAAACTAATGAGTTGCAAGCAAAAACACGTTTTAGCAAATATTGTTCGGTCGATTGAATCAACTTGACACAAAAATAAAAAACTTTTACGGAAGCATATGTCATTGAATACCGGTTCAAACTATTTTCGATGTACGTCTTTGCAATATCCATCCATGTTTTGCTATCGGATAGGATGGAAACTTTTTGAAGCGTTGTCTTTGTTTGACATACACTGTAAAAAATAGGCGTAGATTAGTTAACCCTGGAAAAACGTTTATGAATTTTATAAACCCTGCCATATACCATTTTTAGGATCTATCAATATCATAAACCTTTTCATATACCATTTCGGTTCATCAACCCTCGGAAGGGTTTGCTATACGTTGCACTTTCATAAACCCTTCAGGGTATATGAGCGATAATATACGTTTAAAAAGTTTATAAAATTCATCAACCCTTCAGAAAAGCGTTTTTCACTCTATGGATTTTTCTAAAGGGTAGATCAATAAACTCTTTTCTGAAGGGTTGATGAACCGAAAGAGTATATGAAAGGGTTTATGATATTGATAGATCCTAAAAATGGTATATGACAGGGTTTATAAAGTTCATAAACGCTTTTCCAGGGTTAACTAATCTACGCCTATTTTTTTCTGTGTAGGCTGATTAGTTTGGTGTTCATTAAGAAGCTATTTACATCTAACAAATGTGTAATTTTTTCAAAAGAAAACGAACATGTAACCACTCAAAATTCAAAATTAGGATTACTTATGTAATTAATCCGGTTATTTTAGATATTTCCTAATTTCTCAAGACTTTGCAACTTTTCAGCATAGACATTAGATTATTGATAACTCGAAAGCTAATTTATAGAAAATTATTCTAGTGCACAATGCATACTTACTGAAAACCATCTTTTACTAAATACTGTTCTTTTACTATAGATGAATGAAAATTCTACGAATGATGGCGCTATCTTAGTTGAGAATTCACTTCCTGCACAACGTTCTCATGATGATAATGAGCAATGTGAAAACTCAACGCAAAATGAATTTAATTCAGCAGATTGTGCTACTACTACTAATAAAGCGAAGAAGTCGTCAATGACTCCGACACCTTTGTACATAATTTTCTTTTGTGTTCAATCATGATAATGTATAAAATATCTTTATTAGAGAATCCTCATGTTGGTCACGACATCGATCTTCAGCTGCTGCATGTGTACTTGCTGTATTCACAATTATGGCAATGACTGTTGGTGTACTGACAGTTTGTTTTACTTCACCTAAAACTGCTGGTATGTTCTTTTTAATTGATATATTAGCCACTTTTTGTAGGTAAAATAAGGTTACAAAGAGGATTTGTAACTAAAAACTCAAAACAACACGTATGATCGTTTCTGACAGAATAAATCAATTGAAGTCATAGATTTGTCATTGTAAGAAAGAAAGTTGAACTAAATAATTGCACATGTGTCACTCAAAAATTAACGATCATTATTCGTTGTTCTTATCATGAAATCATTAACACCTACGTTTACAATAACGGTCGTCATTCCCTGTGTCATTTTCTCTTCTTCTTCGCTTAAACATTGCGCTGTTCGTACATGATTACTCGATCAATAAATTCACATTTCCTTCTCTATCCTCATAGTTGTGTCCATTGTGACTCTTAAGTATTCGTAGCAGAAATTTGAATATTCTGTTTGTTAAGGCAATCTGCAGTTCAAAATGTTGATGGAATCTCTAAAAGCATGACCTAACACAATAATTCTGATAATCGTTTGATCGTGCAATAATATGATACTTTCATCTTTTATTTTAAACTTTTAGCAAAGTAAATGCTAGAAAAAGAAGTTATAAAATGTGGAAGTGATGACATTTGATCGTGCAATTTGGCGCACCCTTACACTTTTCACTCATATTGTATTCGTTGGCGTTATTCTATATTCTCAAAGATGACGCCCTTTTTGAACAAATTCTAGAGGAAATCAAAAAAAGCCAATGGGCAATTAACCTGCATGCTAGAGTCGCATATATCTAGCTCTATCTAAATTTTAAGAAACTAAGTAGAATTCTAATGAAAGATGATTGACTTTGAGTTTCGTCTAAATACAGTAATACGACAATCTCTGACAGCATACTATAGAACTTCTGAGGATTCAATACAATCAGACAGGGATAGCCGCACTTGAGCAATCAATCAGTCATCATACTATTTTTCACGTGTCATTTAGTTCAAAAGTGTGAGCTTAAATTCAAACCAACAGCTCAAAAACCAATTGAATATAAGTATGGTCCACGATCTGTCGCCATCGGTGATTTCAACAATGACACATGCTTGGATATGGTTATTGCTCATCATGTAGTTAACAAAATAACTGTTTATCTTGGACATGGTAATGGCACCTTTACAAGTCCAATCCTGTATTCAACCGGTTCCTACTCAAGTCCTTACATGGCCATAGTTGGCGATTTCAACAATGATTCTCACTTGGATATTGCAGTAGCAAATTTTGGCACCAACAATATCGGTATCTTTCATGGATTTAGCAATGGCTCTTTTGCAAGTCAAATAGAACTTTCAACAGGCTCATTTCGTCCGATAGCAATTATCGGTGCTTATTTTAACAATGACTCACTACTTGATATTGCCACCGTCAATTACGGAAACTGCAGTATCAGTCTACTTTATCAATATGAAAATGGAAGTTTTTCGTCTCCAATGACATATCCGACAGGTTATGATTCTTTTCCATCCTCAGTAGCTGCTGGAGATTTCAATAACGACAACTATTTAGACCTCGCCATTGCCAATTATGGCACTAACAATGTTGGCATACTTTTTGGCAATAGCAACAGCATTTTTTCAAAGCAAATAACCATCTCAACTGGCACTGATTCTCATCCATACTCAATCGCCATTGGCCGCTTCAATGCAGACAACTTTCTAGATATCGCTGTCGCTAATTCCGGAACTCATCAAATAGGTGTACTTCTAAACAACGCCAATGGAACTTTCGCTAGTCAAGCTACCTATTCCATAGAGATTGCTTCTCCATATGCGATTGGCGTCGGAGACTTCAACGACGATAATCGATTGGACATAGTCATCGTGAATAACGGCAACGATAACATAGGTATATTTCTTGGTTACGGAAACGGCTACTTTGCAAATCCCATCATGTATTCAACTGGATCGTCTTCTTCGATTTCAGTTGCTATAGGTGATTTCAACAAGGACCACCGATTAGATATTGCCGTCGTAAACAATGATACTGGTGGCATAGATATTCTTCTTGGTCGTTACGAAGGTTCTTTTAATCAAACAAGTTATTCAACTGGCACTTATCCACAATTTGCAGCTGTTGGTGATTTCAATAACGATACTCGACTAGATATCGTTGTCGCCAATTATGATACCAATGATGTGAGTGTTCTTCTTGGATATGAGAATGGTTCTTTTGAAACTCAAGCAACGTACTCAGCTGGCTCTAATCCACAATCTGTAGTTGTTGGTGATTTCAACAACGACACTCGACTAGATATTGTTGTTGTCAGTTATGATACCAATGATGTGAGTGTCCTTCTTGGAAACGGAGATGGGTCTTTTGCAACTCAAACAAGGTATTCAGCTGGTTCCTATCCACGATCTGTAGCTGTTGGTGATTTCAACAACGACGCTCGACTAGATATCGTTGTTGCCAATTCGAAAAGCAATGATGTGAATATCCTTCTTGGATACGGGAATGGCTCTTTTGCAGCTCGAACAAGGTATTCAGCTGGCTCCTATCCAGTATCCGTAGCTGTTGGTGATTTTAATAACGACGCTCGACTAGATGTCATTGTTGCCAATTACGATAGCAATGATGTGAGTATCCTTCTTGGATATGGAAATGGCTCGTTTGGGAATCACAGTAGTTTTACAGCTGGCTTTTATCCACTATCTATAGCTGTTGGCGATTTCAACAACGACACTCGACTAGACACCGTTGTCGCCAATCGGTACAGCAATGATGTGAGTGTCCTTCTTGGAAACGGGGATGGCTCTTTTGCAACTCAAACAAGGTATTCAGCTGGCTCTTATCCATTATCTGTAGCTGTTGGTGATTTCAACAACGACGCTCGACTAGATATCGTTGTCGCCAACTGGCGGAGCTATGATGTAAGTGTCCTTCTTGGAAACGGGGATGGCTCTTTTGCAACTCAAAAAAGGTATTCAGCTGGCTCTTATCCATTATCTGTAGCTGTTGGTGATTTCAACAACGACGCTCGACTAGATATAATTGTTGCCAATGGGGGTAGCAATGGTGTAAGTCTCCTGCTGCAATATAACAGAGGAGCGATTGCATATGAAATGTCCTTCGCACCTGGTGGTGGTTCTTGGCTACAATATGTAGTCATTGGTGATTTGAACAATGATACTAACGTGGATATCGTCTTAGCTAATTATGGTACGAATAATATAGGTATCCTTTTTGGATATGGGAACGGCAGTTTTGAAAATCAAATGATGCTCAGCACTGGCGTGAATTCCCATCCGATTTCCATCGCTGTTGGGGACTTCAATGGTGACCGTGAAACGGATATTGCTGTAGCCAATTATGGTACAAAACGTGTAGATATGATACTTGGAAATGGGAAGGGAATATTTGCAAGTCAAGTAAGTTCTGAAATTGGTTTTGATTCGCCTCCGTTAATGATGGCTTCTGGTGATTTTAATAATGACAAACAATTGGAGATCGCTATCGCTTACGATGGAAATGATCATGTAGATATCTTTGTTGCGTACAATCGTGGCTCGTTTACAACTGAACCAAAATATTCAGCTGGCTTAATCCCATATTCCGTAGCTGTTGGTGATTGCAACAACGACACCAGACTAGATATCGTTGTCGCCAACATTGGTAGCCATGATGTGAGTGTTCTTCTTGGATATGGAGATGGCTCTTTTCAAACTCAAGCAAGGTACTCAGCTGGCTCCAGTCCACAATCTGTAGCTGTTGGTGATTTCAACGGCGACACTCGACTAGATATCATTGTTGCCAATTACGATAGCAGTAATGTGAGTGTCCTTCTTGGATATGGAAATGGGTCGTTTGGGAATCAAAGAAGTTTTTCAGTTGGCTCTTATCCACTATCTGTAGCTGTTGGTGATTTCAACAACGACACTCGACTAGACATCGTTGTTGCCAATTGGGGTAGCGATGATGTGAGTGTCCTTCTTGGATATGGGAATGGCTCTTTTGCAACTCAAACAAGGTATTCGTCTGGTTCTAGTCCATCTTCTGTAGCTGTTGGTGATTTAAACAACGATACTCGACTAGATATCATTGTTGCCAATCGGTACAGCAATGATGTGAGTGTCCTTCTTGGACATGGGGATGGCTGTTTTGCAAATCAAACAAAATATTCAGCTGGTTCTTATCCACAATGTGTAGCTGTTGGTGATTTAAACAACGATGCTCGATTAGATATCGTTGTCGCTAATTGGGACAGCAATGATGTGAGTGTCCTTCTTGGATATGGGAATGGCTGTTTTGCAAATCAAACAAAATATTCAGCCGGTTCTTATCCACAATGTGTAGCTGTTGGTGATTTCAACAACGACGCTCGATTAGACATTGTTGTCGCCAATAGGGGTAGCAACGATGTTAGTGTCCTTCTTGGATATGGGAATGGCTCTTTTGCAACTCAAACAAGGTATTCAGCTGGTTCTCTTCCATCTTCTGTAGCTGTTGGTGATTTCAACAACGACACTCGACTAGATATCGTCGCCTCCAATGAAGGTAGCCATGATGTGAGTAGTCTGCTTGCGTATGACAATATAGTTTTTGTAAAGCAAGTGATGCTCATAACTGGAGATGGTTCCGGACCACAGTGGTTAGTGATTAGCGATTTTAACAATGATGATCTAATGGATATTGGCGTTGCCAATTTACGCAGCCACAATATTAGTATTTTCCTTGGATATGGAAATATCTCTTTTGCAAATCAAATGACATATTCAACTAGTCTGTACTCATCTCCATGCTCTATAGCTGTCGGGGATTTCAACAATGATACTCGAATGGATATCGTCTTCGCTAGTTGTGAATCGAACGCGGTTGGTATTATTCTTGGATATGGGAATGGCTCTTTTGGAAATCAAATAATGTATTCAACAGGCTCAAGTTCGTTTCGATACTCTTTGGCTGTTAGTGACATTAACAACGACACTAAACAAGATGTTGTCGTCGCGAATTATGATGCCAATAACGTAGGTATATTTCTTGGATATGGGAACGGTACATTTGCGAATATCATCCTGTTTGCGTCGGATTACGGTTCCCATCCATTCTCTATTGTTGTTGCTGATTTTAACAATGACAGAAAACTAGATTTTGCCATGGCCAATAATGGCACTGACGATATAAATATTCTCTTGCAGACATGTTAGTTATTGTCTCGTACTTTATATTTTTCTATAATTTACTTATTTGGGATCCTCTTATATCTAGTAGAACTATTGTTTAAATATTCAAATGTTTCTAAGTAAGAAAGATGAGTAGACAGCAAGAGTGAGTTAGGCTTAGGTTTGGTTGTGAGTAACTGTTGATGTCAGCCTTAGCATGGCTCGGAGTGTGAGTGACTGTATGTGAGTGTTGACCGGACTCGAGCAGAAAAGTGTTTAGACATCTACATCCAAACCCTAACTAGCTTTTGTTCATCGATCGCAAGTGTCATGGTGAACCCTATCGAAACGAAGAAATTGATTATCACATCGAATATTCAAGCTTGTCGATATTTAAGAACGATTGTTTCGCGGGTGCTGCTGTGGCTTTGGATGAGAAAGTATTACCAACGCTCACACCCATATCCTTACTCTGCTAGAGGTTGCAATTATAATTTCTTTTATATGATATTATGAATATTTTACCATACATAACACTTGTTGATCTGATCATTTTTTTGTAGCAGGTTTCTTTGTCTTGCTTGGTTCTTATCTAAAACATGTCTGTGAAGCTGAAATCGAACTGTAACTTTTGGTTTTGCCCTTTATAAACATCTAATTATCGTTAACTGAAGATGAAGCTGAAAATTTTTTGGTTTGTTCTTGAACAAAATACTATGGAATCTTTGAATCCTACTTTCGAATTTTGTTTCAACGGTATATTACCCTTAAAGTACAACAACGGACAGAATTGACAAAAAGTTGTTCTATAGTGAAATATCATTACTATAGTCGACTCTTTCATTTGTCACTATCACAGAAAATGAAATTCCTTAACTAACTGAATTTGATACAGATATTAGCGATGAAATAATCTGTTGTTTGGTTCTAATTACGTTTTTATTATTTCTATAGGGTGAATCATAATCTAGGGGGAAAGGGCGAGACTTCACCGTGCTTCACTTGTACTTCCTTTGTACTCACTCATACTTCACTGTACTTCAAGCATAATTATGAAGTACGAGTGAAGTACGTCAAGTAGTGAAGTCACGCTTTTTCTCCCGTGATCATAATACATTAATCAGTTATTAATTTTGGAACCATCAAAATTTTAAAATGAAAACAGATCTGAGTGATTATATAGATATTGTTAATGATGTTAATTTACAAAAGAATACAGGACATATGAGTATGAATGATAGATATAAATATATGTTGCCATATTCTGGGTTGGTATCATTTGCATGTCATGAAGTTCTGGTTTCACATGATATGATTAATTGTATGATAATTACTTTCTATTGTATTAACAATATTTTTGTTTGTCTTGAACTTCGATATTAGTTTTCTTTTCTTTCTCTTTATGTTGCATTGATTAATCATATAATAGAAAATACATTCCAAAATATTTATTTGATAACAATGATAAATATAATAATTTTTATATTAGAAACAAGAAACAAAATTTTAATTTCTTATTTACTTGATCTATCATGAATAATTCCTAATAAATTAATTATACATAATAAAAAAAATTTCATAATAAATGAAAGAATAAAAGCGGCTTCGTATAATATTATTGAATATTATAATAAAACACAATTATTCGAGGTTTCGATGATCTATGCCACAATTTTCAAGATTTATCAAGATTTTAATATATTGTAAATTAACGAAAAAGAACAAAACAGAAAAGGCAAACAAGAAGAAAGAGAACGGATGTGGGTGGGTGCGGCTGAGTGTGGATTTGGGTATAGATGCAGGCGCGGGCGCGGAAACTGCGCGTGGGAATGTCTCTGACCGAGACAATCAGAGCCACACTCACATCAAATTCACACCCAAACCCATCCACACCCGCAACCATACTCATCCTTAAGTATTCGTATTATTGTGGGGTGAATGTCGGAGTGTCGATATGGGTAGGAATCTGTTGTGTGCTTTCCATTTAGTGACAGATATGCTTAAGCCCAGAATCACACAATGATTTTATTGATTCTTGTGTGAGAACGAAAGTTATTAAGATAGGAACAGTACCGGATGGCCTAAAGATCAGTTAGCAGAAGAAAAAATTGAATAATTCAACTGCAGTTCAATCAAATGGTCTGATTACTTTTTAGTGATAGAAGTCTATTTAAAGTTTTATTTCATACAAATAATAGAAGGGTGTGAGTGTGGGTATGCAGCACAAGTGCCATGCACATCCACGTCTGCACCTCACCCTTCTATTGGCATGTATATAGGTCGTCTTCTTTTGTAAACCTATTTAATGTTTTGTGCAAGTGATAAAACTAAATATTTTACCTCATTGTAGTCATTGTACTAACAGTCACGAAAATGAGCATTGCTTGTTTTTTTTTCTTGTCGTTTCTTTGCCAAGAAAAACCATTTTTCGCTAAATTTCGGACAAAATAGCTGAAATTCTGCTCGTATTTCTTCACACAAAACCCAAGCCCTTGTGCAATAAGATTATCATGTTTGGAATCGACTGATGTATATTTTTCTCGTTTTCGTTGATTGAAGTTTTCCTTCCAGTGTTTATGTGCAGTGGTGATGGCTGAAACTTTCACCAAAAAAATGAAGGATAACGAAAATTTTGAAAAACATAAATTAGTCAATCTAGTTTTTTACGCTAATTCCAAATATGACAATCCTATTACACAAAAGCTTCGTCCTGTTTAAGAAATATGAGCAGCATTCTAGTTATTTAGCAAAAAAGCGATTTTTCTCGATAAAGAGAAAGAAAGGGAAAACAACGATGCAGTTTTGTATAACAGTTGATAAAATGAGATAAAATATTTGGTTTTATCACTCGCACGAAAGAACTGGACAGATTTACAAAAGACGGCCCATACGTATGCACATCGAACAAAACTTAATCGCTATTATAAGTAGAGTTTTATGATCAGATTCAATTTAATAGTGATTTGATACCCGGTTTCTGGTGCTGACTTTGAAAATATAAGTCTCAGAAGTTCAACAAAAGAAACAACAGAAAATTTTTCAAAAATTGGAAACAATGAGCTTTCTCAAAAAATTCATTTTTCTTGATCAAGAGATCAAGCTCAGTTGAACCATGTATACAGAAAAATCTTACTTCAATTGCGCATTCAAAGCACCTTATAAATGACAATCGCAGAAAATAATTTTTCGTTGGTTTTGTGCGGATATAGTTGTCGATATTCTCTTAACCTAAACCCCACACCCACACCCCAAGTATTTGGTCTAGAATGGCTATTGAAACAAAGAAATACGATGTTAATTTTCGACTTTTTGAAATATCATGCAGTCAAAAAATGATTAAAAGCATGAGACTGCGTAAATGCAGGATGAGATAGAACGTTATGTGCTATTGGAATGTGTTGCTAGTTTTTGGAAAAAAAACTAGTTTTTATCATGATAATAAATTTTAAAAAATCACTGAAAAAATAGTAACAAAATGCAATTCGTTAGAATCTGTTTATAAAGATGCTTTCATTGTATTTCATTTAATTGCTAATAAATAATTGTAACATAACACATTATTATAGAGAATGATAGAAAACTCTGAGTGCTTTCAAATGTATTTATTTATTTATTTTCTTAAAATGTTGTTTTTCTACCGTCAATATATGAAAGCACTCAAGTGTAGCTATTTTTCTGCGAGACGATCTAGTGAAGAACATTTTAAACACATACAAAGAGTTTTTTTTACGATGAGAAAATTTTTAAGTATCGATAAATTTTACAGCAATATATATATTTAGATTATTCTTCTTTAAAGTAAACATTAAAATACTTTAACGTATCAAACAGTTAAAAGGAAAGAAGAAGTTGAAAGAAGGTATAAATTAAATTCTTATGTCAAGAATAATTAAAAGGAAAAAAATACAACGACTGTTCTTCCGGAAATAATATTTCATTAATTTCAAACACTTCCATCATTTTTATTTCATTTGAAATTTATCCAAGTTCCGATCATTAATCAAAATGTTAGAAAGGAACAAACCTTGCTTGACTTTGTTTCATTAGAGAAATTATCGCGCATTTTTGCATATGACTGTTTATTTTAACTGGTCGCTAAATTAGCTATGGGAAGTCTAAATAATACGAGACGAATTTCTCGTAATACATATCCAGCATGGATAAAGTATCGAAAAGCAACAAGTTACTTTAAATCTGTTTTTTTACTTTTTTTATTATACAATTTATACAAGACACATTCTATCAGCAAGATGAATAATATCAAAAGAAAGAGGGCAGATGTGGATTTAGGCGCGTGTCTCACAATTGTTTTCTCTCATACCCACATCCACACCTCATCCCAATTAAATTTCTAAAAGTGTAATTGATACAAGGCTAATACTTGAACTATTAGAAAACCTTATTTTCGTTAGAACCTAACTACTAGTAGTGCTGTAAGTGACTTAAATGTTAGAGCATATATATTCTTGCCTGAGTCATAAGTCTTCTATAGATCTTGTAATTCGATAAAAGCAAGTAATTAAACATAATTAGAAAAGAATATAGTTTAATATTATGCATAAAACATGATCTATCCCATTATCTATTTCAATTCTTACACAACATTCAACAACAAATTCGAATAGAATATCATTGTTAAAAATTTCAAGAAAAAACAACTTAAATGATCAATTTCAAACAGATCATCTATTCACTTTGTCGTTAAGTGAAATATCTTCAGCAATTTTTATTAGAATCACAAACAGACTTTTTTTTTATATTTCAAATCTTATTTTCATCTGACACAGAAATTAAAATATGATAGTTCTCATAATTTATGTGTTTTTTATCAAAAATACGAAAGAATTTTTAATCATTGTTTGTTATAATGCACTAGTGATACATACGGCATGAGTCTCAGATGTCTTTCATGTAGAATTTGAATGATAAAACGAAATAGACTGAAGAGCATTAGAAATATATTTATTCTCATTGTATGGCAATCTTCAAAGTTAGTATTTTTGTTGCTGTATGCATGTTATTAGTATGTCAGATAGCCGTATGTC